TTAGTTTGTGTTGTGAAATTATTAAAGACAAAGAAAAATAGTTATTTATGTGTTAAGGGCATAAAAGTGATGTCTATATTCTCGAGGGTGACGAACTTTATTCACCGAGGGTATAAATATCAGTTTATGCCCGTGGTACAGTCTCTTGTAAAAGTAATGTCCCTCGGATACCTACCACTGTAGCATAGGCAACCAACATCCCAGCCGACTAGTTCAAGTTGGATTTGCGGGTGTGGGAGGTAGGTAGGTATCTAATGCGGTTCGTTTTCAGCAGGTATTCCCACTTTGCCAAACTAAAAATAAGTTAGTAGAATGAAAATGAATGGTATTTATTAGCTCAAAAGATCTGCGCTGCTTTAATCTATCCTTGGTTTAATACAATAGAAATTTTTACATTTCTTTCAATTGGTTTGGTGCGTTTTAAATTTGGAAATACTTTAGCTAAAATAATGACCTTTTACTTTTAATTTTTTCGAGTAGATTTTCTTCTAACAAAATAAATGTGATGATTTTGTCGTTTTATACTGACATTGAAATTGATGTCTCATTATTAATTACTCGGGCCTCCTAATGGAATGCGATTATCTGCACTGGAAGCGCGACAATGCCGTTCCTTTTGTAACTACCACCTCCCACTCCTTTCAAACCCCGGGATGACACCCGCGGAAAAATTCAGCTGTTTTAATTATTTTTCCCTAATTTCTAATCATTTCACCTGCATGAAAAAGCCGGTTTAACTGGTAACTAATTTTTTTGTCAAAAAATATACCTATAACCTGGACTAAATATCCTTATAATATGCCTACCTACTCAAAAATATGCAACGTAAAAGCTCTCCTAAACTAAATTCGATATTAAATCAACCACGACCAAGTATCACAAATGCATATCATTTAATTTCTGATGCTAGTTACAAAAGAAAGGTATTGTTGCACAGTGCACTTGTAGGGCAATTAATCGCATTCCATGAGGAGACCTACTCGCAAGTAATTATTAATGACACTGGAATTTCAATGTCATTAAAGGACAAGAATATCACCTTTATTTCGTTAGAAGAAAACCTACTCAAAAAATTAAAAAGTGAAAGGCCATTATTTTGTCTTAATAGTCTCTAGCTAAACTATTTGCAAATTTAAAACGCACCAAACCAATTGTAAGAAATGTAAAAATGTTTACTGCACCAAGCCAAGGATATGCAGCGCAGACCCTTTGAGCTAATAAATCGATGGCATTCACTTTTATTCTACTAACTAGTATTTAGTTTGGCTAAATGGGAATATCTGCTGAAAATGAACCGCATTAGATAACTACCTCGCACACCCGCAAATCCAACTTGGACTAGGCGGCTGGGATGTTGGTTGCCTATGCTACAGTGGTAGGTATCCGAGGGACATTACTTTTACAAGAGACTGTACAAT